GCCCATAATGCTTGATCAGGGGTAATGTCTTTCATATACCCCTATTCACCTGCAGTCAACATATACTCCCTTCACACAGGAGGTGCAGCACTTGGGCGTGAACCTTACAAGTTCTAAAACTGCCTAGCTATTTTCGAGAGACTCGTGCTCATTCACAGGCAATGCGACGTTACAGTACTCCCATTGTAAAACAGGTTTATTTTATTTCCTCTGTTTCGTTAGAACAAGATGGAAGTTTACAGCACTTCCGAAAAATTTCCCATAGTGAGCGCTAATGAGTGGTCTCGAAGATTGTGAGTGCGCTCTAAAGAAACTACCATTACCTCAAAACAATTACTACAATTAGACGCGCTCCTGCAGTAGGGAGAGATTTTGACCTACCGAATCATTTGAAGGAACGCGACGCCGCAATCCTCGCTGTACTACTGCAGAGTTATTTACTAGTGTCAACCCCATTTCTCGGATATTTTCAAAATTATACAGACTACTTGCGCGACAGTTCTTACAATAAGAACGAAAGTTTTGATCACTTGTTATTCATAAGAAGTAAGAAAATTACTATTCTTCCACGCGAAATCTACTTGGTCCGCTTCGCGTTCATGTGCGTACGAATAGATGGTGAGCGATTTCATGTGATCGATTGCATTCAAGCATTGGCAGTCCCACCTCGGTATACCCGACTTCCTATTTTGAGAGATGGAAAAATACGTATAGCGGATACTTGATGCAGATTCCGCTCGCAACATTCTGTTTTTTTTTTGCTGCCAGAGAGTGAGGCATTCAGTAGACGGGATGAAGTCTCTAAACTTTTAAGGTTCTGCAGTTGCAAGGTGTCGCCACAGTTTGTCTCAAGAACCTCCTTCCACGCTGTAAATTATGAGTGTTGCCTTCATCTCCGATCGATTGCTTCAAAAGACGACCACATCCAAACCTAAGGTGAGTCCAGGCCAGATTTCAGTCGGTTTCTGCTTTTGTAAGAAAAGCACCTGGCAGTTGAACTGCCTGTGCACATTACTTCCAAAGGACCAATTTCACTGGAAGGTAAACCTGAAGTTCGACAAGTGAACCCAAAATGCCGTTCCTCAGGAAAACTCAGTTTTCAGAGAAACAACTTTCTTTCCGAGCTAGCGTCGTCACAGTGAAAAAGGATTCCTTACGAAGCGATCCGCAGCGGCGTAGAATGTTGCAGTGAGCAGTAACAACTCAACCTAAAGGCGAAATGCAGTCTAGAACCTAGTTGCTGTACCTTTCAACACTCAAGCTTCACCTTTGAAGCTCCATTACACCACTCCAGTCGTCTTTGTTCCATACGAACCATAGTTGTCTGCACCATAAGCTGCAGCACACTGTGCGACTGTACACATAGGGTTTCTTTATTTCAAAGTCTAGCTCCGCGTTGCGAGTGTAGAGATCGCTGTTGTCCTTCGCAGCGGGACCCACTCCACTCATTGTGGCAGCGCTGCTGCTGTCAACTCACTCTTTGTCGATGCCCCTCACGTCAACCAGTCAAAGACATATGGCACGACAGGTTTAGGTGAGGTGTATAGTTGTTGAACCTATTATTCGCATCGCATTTTGATCCCTACAGCCATCTGGACCGTAGAATGGGTATCCTAATCTGCAGGGTACGCTCTACCCGTGGAAACTGTAAAAGCCACCAACGAGATTGTCGCGTTTGTCGCCGCGCCTTACATGGCGCTTTCAGGCGCGGCAACCTTGTGGCAGCTTTGGAACGCACTCGAAAAACGGAGACAGTGCGTTCAAGAAACCCTCAGGGAGGTACTATGTAGCGATACGACTTCGAGCACTATTTAAAGGCAATTCCCGCGACCACACTTCATAGGTAATACAGTTCAAAAATATTAGGTTGTTCGAAAAGTCCTGCGACACTTTGATTGAATTGTTCTAGAAAAAGACCAAAAATCATTTTGGATGTTTTTATCCCTGATTAGTGGAGACTGTCCTCTGGGGTTTCTGCACATGGGTATATCATGACTTTGTGGAAGTTTTCAAAGCTTAAAAGTCCCTCAGAGATCGAGGTACTTTTCGACCTATCCCATATTATGAGTTCCTGTAGGGCCACTCCGCCGTAGTCGAGGAAGCTAACACTACGTTGTCTTGAGGAAGGATATCGCTTGCCATGGCAGAGGGTAGCTTTTGCATCAGCGCTTCCAGGCTGGACTTATTTAACTCGTAGTTAGGCAATGGTCGCCCACCAGCACCGAATGATGCCCACCAGCACCGAATGACGGCCCTTTACAAGCTTCTTGAGGCGCAGCCGAAGGTAACCACCAGTAAGTTGGCAACCTCTCTAGGCTCCACCTGACTGACAACTGCCATGCTTCTCCGCAATCTCGGTTATCGGAAAAAATTTTTTGTGAAGGATGCCTCATGAGTTGGACCCGTCTGACAAGTCATACCGAATGACTGACTGAGTTTTCTTTTCCTTGTACACAGCGAAAGAACTTTTGTGAGATCTTGTGGTTGGTAGCGAGTGTTGGAGTCCTTGCGTACATCATGCACATGTCCCTCGCAGGATCTCTCAAACAGAAAAGTAGATTGCTTAGCCAAAAACAGATGTGCATGGGATAAAGATTTCAGTGTATTGGTGGGACTTCAAAGCGGTATCACTGGATACTAGCACCGTTGTAAGGACCACAGTCCACCTTAATCGACTTCAAAATATGGATGACGTCACGCTTGAATTCATTCAGAAATACTCAATTTTTCTCTACTACTCGGCAATGCGAAGACCGCATGTGGGATCAGGCTACGCCAAAAGATCATGGATTTCGATCAGAGAATGCGACCGTACCCAGGTTATTTAACAAAGTTAGCAGCCTCTAATTACCACCTCCTTTGGTCCCTATCGCATCCTTTAAAAGCAAAAATTCCGAAAATCGACCTCAACTCGAGAATGAGGTCCACCTCTTCTTTTTATCATAGTTGCCGTAGTTCTATGAGAAGGAAATGAGAAGCTGTGCAAAAGAAGGACACTATTCCTATTCATCAACTATGGTTACCTTGTAGATTGGAGCTGTCTTTTGGTGAAGGAAAATTTAGTCCGAAAAATTTGGTCAAAGTGTCGCATTACTTTTCAACAACCCAATAGATTTGCCCTGTGATTGTTGAGTTATTGAGGAGAAGGAACCACGATAAAGCGCCCGCAATAAGACCCTATTTATTTCAATTGATCATGATCACCGGACGAGCGTAAGGTGGTCAAGATCGATTGTGGATGGCAAAAGGCGGCGAGACACTGATAAGAGACGAGAGAGGCCAGAAAATGACGGGCGAGAGAGCGCAATGGCAGTCTCACAACGACACGGTCACTGGAGGCCGGCATGGGCCTATCGGGCGCCAATGGGCCTAAAACATGAGCGCCGTGCGTTCTGCTTGCTGTTTTTCAACTTTTAAAAGCAGCATATCCTCTACTGTTGCCTGCTTGATCATCATGCACGTTTATGAGGTTCTAGCCTTAGTTTATCGCGGAACGTGCCTTTAAGCATCTCATTTGAGAGATGTGTGGCAGCAAATCGATGGGCATCAATCTGTATTCATGGAATGCTTCAAGAACTTCAACGATGGTTCACTGTGAATGCTTTATTCATATCACTTATAATATAATCGAGAAGTTGAGCAACAACAGTCATGTGATTGCTGTTGAAGTTTCAGAGGAATTCTCATGCGATGATACAGAGACCCTCGTTCTTGCTGCATTTTTTGCAGTTTTTGCATGGATCTCCTTTTTCATAGATCAACTGGTTAAGGTAGTTCCCGCTGAAAATTAATCACAGTGAGGACTCTTCGTCGCTTTCCACTCCATGCATGAAAAACTCACCTTGGGCTGTATTGACAAACCCCATAAGTCATATCGTTACACCACTCGATCGCACATCCGAGCTTGTAGGTGTTCTGCCACACCATCTAAACTTTTCCAAGTTCATTTGCTGTAGAATCCATTCCACTAAGCGTTCTCGCAAACCTGAGTGTAATGACCAATCGGCATATTCGGTCGATAGAAGAGTTTTTCTGTGAGCACGTTGTCTTGTCCCACACCATATTTTTCTAGCTCGCCAAACCACCCATCACACATCTGAAGCGCAGTTGGTTACGTAGTTCGTAAAATTAGTACCAGAGTTGGTATCGTTACCCGCTTCGCGGCATCTGCCTTATTCATCTTCTTGGCAGTAGTCTTCCATATGTTCTCGCCAAGATCTCCTATGTCCTCAAACTTGGTGTGCCCATAGACGCATTTTTTAGCATTCTTCATCGCACTTTCTTCGACTTTGCAATCGTACACCTCAATGTTTGGCCGTAAGATTGGGCTCATCTCAACAAGCATTGCTGTACAAATTCCTACCATCTTGAGCATTTTTGCTGCCTTGGGAGCGTTTCCTCCAATCTTGTCTTTTGCCTGTCCTTTCGCAACAAGCGATCTGAACTAGGGATGCTGGCCTTTATGGTCCAAATATCTTTACAGCTAGAAGTTACCTGTATTTGTTATGGGTGTCGAGGAATATTTGTCTTATGTCGTCTGTCATTCCCCTTGTTGTTTGAGCATGAAAATTTCCCTGAATTGAAGCCTAATTGACTCCGATAGCAATGGGAAGCGCTGATACCTACGGACCTGGTTTCACAACTGCTGGTTTCTTTGTCGTGGTAGTA